AGTATCTGAATCGTGGAAAGGTCAGGTTTGCTTTGACCCATCAAAAGAATTTTTGAAAGTGTCGGGTTTAGTCTGTTGGGAGATTTTGAAAGTTTGTTTGTGCAGGCCGACATTTTAAGCTCTGTAGTAAGGATCCTTGCCTTCGGGCTTTCTGGAAAAATCCAGTTGGATGCATGTTGTTTGGGCTTCAGTAGTGTAAAATGCTAAAACCTGAGATGAAATTATAAAAGGTCATCATTCTCATTAGATCTTTTTTGTCTTGGCAAGTGCATTTCTTCATTTCTTTGTAGTGAGGGTGCTATCTGAGGCATTGAGAATTGAAATGAGAAACTTGCCATCAGGCTTTCTGGAAAAACAGTTGGATGCATGCTGATTCAGCTTCAGAAGTGGAAAATGTTAAAACAGAAACAAGTTGAAATCGCAATATGTCATAACTTTGATTTAGATCTTTTTGTCTTGGCATGTATCATAATTTCTGAGTAGGGCTGTTTTTCTGGATGTACGCAGATTCACTATACTAACATGCTGAACATTGAAATTGCGAGAAGTCATCATTCTGATTTAGATCTTTTTGTCTTGGCAAGGCTGTTTAATTATTCTGTTACTAAAGGTGTAAGTAAGGGAGAAAAGGCCGTATTGACCACACAAGTGTGCCTCAAAGTGGCATAACATAGGCCCTGAGTGAACTTGCACCTTTCATTAAAAGGAATCACTCACCTATTCTTCTTCCACTTTCTCTCTTAACATCCCCACCAATGCTGCCCCCCACCCGAAGTGAAGCCCAGGGGAGGCAGCTGTGCTTGGGCCCCTGTGAACGCTCCCAGATGTACTTAGGAGAGCTAGCTGCTGCTGACCGCCCTTTCAGCCTCTCTGAAATATGAGCACTTTATCTGATCTCGTTCGAGATGTGCCAGGCAGAGCCAATAAAGGAGGACTTGGCTGCCACTGGAAGAGAAAAAGAGAGAGAAAAGGGGGGAGGGAGGGGGATCTGTGCTTTTGTGCATTTCTCACAAAGCTTCTCCTCGTGCCATTTTACACCTCCATTGATGGATTGGTTGACACTTTGAATTGCAGATATCTGATACTCTGTTGTCCAGTCTCTGAGTGTGTGTGTGTGTGTGGGGGGGGTGGTGGAGGGGATGGGGGGCAAAAAGGCTAAGAATTGCATGCATTAGATGTGTTTGGATAGTGCTGTCTGAAAGCCGAGAGTTGAGCTAAATATTTTATCATCATACCCTCATGGAAGCGTTTGATGAATTTAAGATGAACGAATAGCTGCATTTAAAATGCACAGCATCAGAATTCCTCTCCTTTTTCCTTGACTTTTTTTTTTTCCGTAGCGTTTCCCATTGCATCCACTTCTGCAAAGCCTTGATTTCATTTCGTTTCATTAATGCCTCGCCTAGAGATTTGGGCCCTTTCCCCTTTTTAGTTTAACTCAGTGTGGTATAATATAGTCATGTTACACTACACTGTGGAGTGTTTTATCCTTAGACATGAATATACTCAGAATGCCTATGTCTGGAAGTTAAACAAAGAGGCCGATGGATCCTTAAACCAAGCAGGACATTATTTTGTCAATAAAATCAGCTCCACTGACTTTTCACTATCTCTACAGATCTATCAATACTAATGACTATAAAAACATCATTATTATTATTATGAAGAGGTACTGCTAATGTGTAGAGAATTTGTAAAAAACCAGCAAACCTGCTAAAAATGCTGGGAAGAGTTTGAGAAAATTTTACATTTAGGAACTGACAACCACAGTTGACAGTTAACAGTTCACAACTAACTGTCAGTCAGTTAAGCGCTAGTCTTTAAGCCAGTCGTCTGCCTGTCATCAGAAAGTCAGGTGTGTTTTGTCCCTTAATATGCCCAAGAACCACCTTGACTGACAGAATAACCAACCACAGGCTGGTGTTTTAGCATGATATGTAGGGACAGAGGATGTTTGAACAAAGAGAAGTAGCCAAATACATGTTAATTCATTTGATTATACTTTGACTGACGACATTCAGCTGAAGAAGCTAAGAGCATCCTCAGTCACTTGTTTACTCACCGCAAAGCTGAGAGCTGGATATGAACAAAGAAAGTAGGATGGCTAATCGGTTTAACTGATTCCTGCAGAATAAGCTATACATCTATACAAATTTAGTATAAAACACTGAAATAAATGTAGCTAGCTTCTGCACACAACTAGCAACGTTGTTCTGGCTAGAATTTACTTTCTCTTAGTTTGAAAGGATGCTTTGTTACCCCAGTGATATATCTAATATTAATTCAGAAAATGAGAATTGGGAAATATTTTTACTCAAAGCTGTGCAAGGAGGTTGAGAGACTCATAGCTCAGGTACCCTGATGTGTGCAAATTCATTCAGAGCGCATAAATACAGTGGTTGTTAGGCTGTATCGCAGCCTATCAGAGCAATAAGGCTCCAAAACTACTGTGCAAATCTTCATCTTTTACATTACTCACAGAGATGTCAGGCTAAAACTGAGCCAGACAGCAGGGGGGTATTTCACAAAGCAGGATTTCTCAGTAAGCTGGGTGACTTAAGCCAAATTTGAGGATTGTCCAGTAGGAATGTTCCTTAGCTCCTGTTCTGTTGGGCATGCTTGTGTTTTTTGATTATCAGGCTAACCAAGAATTCCTGCTTTGTGAACATGGCTGTATATCATTTATAGTATAAACGTTATGTAGTTATACAGATAATATATAGTTTCACAGGGGAAAAACATCATTTGTGCTCGAAGAAGACATAGATATAAATTAAGCCTGTAAATAAAAATAATATCTAAAGAGAATGAACATACTTATACTAATATTTTTGACAACACAAAAACCAGCAAGTATTCGTAGCCTGTAAAATGCTGTTTGAGCCAGTCGTCGCAAGTTCTATCTCCTAAAAATGGGTATCGAGGACAGTTTTTTTTAAAAAATTGGTTGGACTATGTTTTAAATAAGTGATGTAAATGACAGTTTGAGCAGCTCCTGAACCGTTAACAGTGTGTTTACAGTGTGTCACTTAACAGCATGTTTTTGTTTTAACATGATACACGGTCCAAAAAAACTTCCCTACCATTTTAAAAGCAAGCAAAGAAAAAATAAACAGACCCTGGACTTATTTTCATATAATACAGTCCCAACTCAACAAAGTGCAAACCCCAACCCCTGAGAAACAAAACCTGGCCAGGTGACCTGGGTTAACTCCTCTGTTAATGGGGATTACCTGTGGCCTCTAGAGGACAGACCTTTGACCACTGAGGTAAAGGGTGGTGGGCAAAATAAACAAAGGAGGCATAGAGCACACTAGCAAAGCCATAGATATCTTACTCGGCACAGTCTCTTCTCTTAGACTGCTTGTTCTGTATATTTGGAGAAAAAGTGATTTGGCATCTGGAAAGACCCCAGTATGTTTGCTGTTTGCTTCTGTCGTTTAAAATCTTGACTGTGGATTGGTAATCTGACCGTTGCAATATGCAAAGAGGCCTCTGCAGGAGAGGAAGCAGCAGAGAGCAGTCAGTCTCAAAGCAGAAGATCAAAGTTGGTTCTTTTTTTTTTCTCTTTTCCATCATGCATGTCTGTGTTTGATCCTGGCTTGTTGAGGGTATGTGGACTGCTTCACCTTAGAGGGGTTCTTAATGTTCAGCAGGGGAAATTAATCCACATATTAGCTTGCATCATGTCCTAACTGTTATATGAGGTAATCATTAATGATTATAATGCTTTATTTTTACTTTCTTGTGCATGTAATCAGACATGCTTATCCACAGCATTTCTGTCATGAACATATTGGTCTTCTGCAGCATCAGTTGCAATAATAAAATATCGTAAGGTGAGCTGCATTTGAAGACCACTTCTTCATTATTACACATTATTACAGTATTACACCTGGCAAAATGACATGATGGAGACCAAAACTGTGGACTTCGTTTCAGGCATTCCTTGCATAGGTTCACCAATGAGCCAAAGCATTATGACCAGTATGCTGTTGGTCCCGAAACAGATACATTGCACTGGTAGTGCCACATTTAAAAACTGACATCAAAAACTGTTGGTGCAGTGATTTTTATTCAACATTTCACATACGATACTGCACTAAATCCAGTTAAACAGGCCTAATTATGCTCTCTTTCTAATGAAGCATGCACTTGGTCAGTGTTCTATAAGTACTGACAAAATCAGTGAGACACTCAGAAAAGCATATTGCTTATCATGATAACTTTAAAATACCATCATATTGGTTACTTCTAATACAGTTGTTGTAAAAAATGTGCACGGGAAAAACCCCTTTTAGTCAGTCAAATTGTGCCATCAGAACTAATTGTAATATAAAAATAATGTACTCTCTCTAATAAATTGAAAATGGAAACATTAACATGTTAATGATAAGGCACTTTCATAAGGACTTTTAGGCATAACCTATTTTTGCTGTATTGAAAAATGTAACGTATCACTACCATATCGCATCAAACCAAATAAGTAATGTTGTGTATCATTACATCCCTAATCTGTGTATCTTGGGATTTGTATTTTATTATGATAGAATCAGCTACTTAATGCCTACTAGTTAGTATTGATAAAAATGCATTTCAGTATTTTATGTATATGTAATGTACATTTCAGCTTTGTTAACCCTAAGGAAGGGACTGTTATCAGTTTTAATTAAATATCACAATAGAAAATTCACTGATAATTCTATAGGTTAACAATTCAGATAATCTTATACGATGACATCTTCAAAAATCACAGTGAAAGTATTCATTGTAGGTTACTACTACAGCATATCTGCAGAACACACACCAGGAGCAGGAAAATGCAGTGTGTGTTAGATAAGTTGCGAGCTGGAAGGAGTAATGCAGGAAACAGTGATCATTCATAGTAGTTGCTAAGATATTAATAAAGCTTTCGACTAATAACTGTAAAATTTGGCTTGGTTAGGGGTTATGTGGGGTCATGTGCTTATGCAGTCTCCTCTTTTTCTTTACCGTTCCAGTCACTCTTCCTAAGAGTCTGATTCCTGCTCTTTGCTCGTCCGGATCGTCCCGCCGCTCCATGCAGTCTTCATACAGGCTGCCGCACCCGCTGCCCCCGCTCCCTGTGCGGAAGGGTGTGAGGGGCCGGCGGCCTAAGAGCCAGACCATCGCCATGCTAAAGGCTGCGGCTGAAGCAGCTGCCGCCGCCTCGCAGAACGGCCAGACGCAGAGCAGTGTGATGAAGAGCCCGGACCTCACACAGCTAGAGCCAAGGCCACACAAAAAGAGAGGACCCAAACCTGGCAGCAAGGTTCAAGATTAGCCTGCTTTATTTTGATCATTTTTTCTATTTGCCTTTATTCATCCAGACACTTAAAGAAATGCATCTGGAGCATCTGAGATTGGTCAGCGATGCTCACAGGACACAATTAAACTTGGGTCAGAGACTCATCCACATAATTGCCTTCTGCGGTGTCAGTATGGCAAAGTCCAATATTCCAGTAACATTTGAGTGAGATAACCTTACGTACGTGAGATTGTGGACATTTCAGGATTTTACAAGGCTTTTCACGATTGTTTTAAGCGAAATACTTAATAATAGCTGAATTTAAAGCTTAGAAATTTTTTTGAGCTTTTTTCTCAATTTTCTCCCCAGTTTAGTCTCGCTAGTCCATCCGTTAGCTAGGTCTCCCACTGGTCAAACAATACTACTTGTGCTGTAAAATCCAGCGTCATCGACAACAACAAATGGTCCGTCATTCAAGGCAATGAATTTCATTGTTTTTTTAATTTATTTGTGCTAGCTAGAACTTTCCTTTCTGATTCTGCAGTTTTGCTAAATTCTGCATGTTGAGCAGTGGTATAGAACGTGTTGTAGAAAAGTTTTTGGATGTTACATCTCCTCTTGATACGCAGGATGGATCAAAGACTATAAATCGTTTGTCTAATGTCCCTTAAAGAAACAAGGCAGTAGTTCTATGCAGACAACTTTTTTTCAATTGTTGATCAACTGCAGCTCAAACTGTCTTAATGTGTCTACGCTGAAAACAAAGAGAGAAATCATTTTTAATCACGGTTTCTCATTCTCATTACCATTAAAATTTGGAACTTCTTCAGTTTTGAAAATTTACTGTAGTCCTATTTAACCTTTTTTTCTCTTTTGCCCAAAAATCGGAATACTGTATTATTCTTTATTATTATTACTAGATTTTTAATCATGTTTTGGTGGCTGAAATTTCACTGCATCCCTTCCTTCTAACAGCTGCTGATATGCGTATTGTATCATCTCTGGATATAGTATGACAAATAAATTGTGCTAATGATTTAAGGATTAGGAAGAAATAAAAATACAAAAGATTATTATCTGAATCTCGTTTAATTTGGTTTTAGTTGGCCTTTGCTTGGTAATGAATGTGAATTGGGGTTAACTTGTCAGAAGGAATTATCCAAATGTAGTGTTTATTCACCATGAAGAATCGTTTCCTCCTGAACGCTTCATTAACCATGTCGTGGGTGACTTAACAATAGTCTCGATCATGTTTCAGATAGACCCCTAATTTCAGTTGCGGGTCAGTGGCAGTCAAGGCTAGGCCTTTGTTGTCTGTTAACATTGTTTTCACTCTCCACCTCACTGTCTTCTTTCTCTCTTTCCTTCTCCAGAGGAAACCCAAAATTCTTCAGTCTCTCCCCAGCTCGTCTCTGTCTTCCTCCCTGTCTGTTTCTGATGGCAGGCTGTCCAGTCTACAGATGACCAAAGACTCTGGAGTTCTGTCAACAGGTGAAATATAGTCTTCTACAGTCTAGTCTGGCTGTCAGTTAATGGTGAATGGTCAGTTATGTGTAGAAACCTCGAACAGTAGAAACTCAAAAGCCTCCTTCTCAGAATTCTTGGGAATTATTTTTTTTATTTTTCATCTGTCCTCTTCACATAAAAAGCCCAGCTGCCTCATCTCCATTCCTACGGAGCTTAATTCAGAACTGATCTTCACTGTGGAACTAATCAGAATGGAAAATATTTGGCTTAAAATGCTCCTTTAAGATTTGATTGTGATCTCTTATCATAAACAAGACCTTTGCAACTGTTTCCCATCAGAATGGAACAGTTGAGAAACTTGTTTGGACAAGTTGCTGAAAAATTGCCTGTAGGTTCAACAAGATACGCAGATATGTCAAAGAGATATAAAGTAATTTATATTGCTTGAGAAAAAAACTCATAAAGCCACAGAGGCACTAATAAATAAATTCCTTAATTTTTTTTATTTCCTTCCTGTATGTGTCTACCTCCGTGTATGTTACTGTGTTACATTTTCATCATTTCTCATATTAATTAATGTTGTTATTTCACTTAAAAATACAAATAATTACATTGCAATATTAAACATGTAACATGCAATATATAACATGGGTTGTGCGTTGGACCCCTTTCCCTGAGCGGATGAATCTGGTAATTGTGAGCAAGTTGAAAGAGTATTTGAATAAAGTTTGGTCAAAACATTCAAAAAAGAATCAACCAAAAACATCCAGCCAAAAGTGTCTTGTGGGCAGCGTCTCGTGACCACTAATGAAGGACTAGAGGATGATCAATACAAACTGTGCAGCAACAGATGAGCCACTGTCTCTAACTTTACATCTACAAGGTGGACCAGAGTGGACAGTGTATGTGGACACACTGTTTAAAAACTCCAGCAGCACTGTTGTGACTGATCTTCTCGTACCAGCACAGCACACGCTAACACTGCGGCCATGACAGTGTCTTTGAAGTGCTGAGAATGATCCACTACCCAAATAATAACTGTTCTGGGGTCCTGTGGGATCCTGACCATTGAAAAACAGGGTGAATGGGGGTTATAAAGTATACAGAGAAACAGATGGACTACAGTCTGTAATTGTTGAACTACAAAGTGCAGCTATATGCTAAGTGGAGCTGATGAATTAGACGAAGAATGTAGATACTTCATGAAGTAGGTGGCTTAATGAAGTGGCCAGTTGGTGTATAATTTAGTGTCAGCTATTAATACATGCATTATTTCAAACGTTACTCACACGGATTATCCTGTTTTTTAGTGTGCGTCTATGTGAATAAACATGGTGACTGCGGCCCACATCTGGACCGTAAGCTGATGCTGCAGCTGCCTGATCATTTCGGGCCGGGCCCGGTCAACACGGTTCTGCAGCACGCTGTGCAGGCGTGTGTGGACTGTGCCTACCAGCCCAAAGCTCTCTTCAGCTTCCTCCAGTCACAGTCTGACGGTGGAGAGATCATCCGAGGTAGGACCCCATTGTGTGTGATTTCTGTGTCTGTAAGGTGTGGGGCAGTTCTTGAATTTCTCACAATGGCTCTATGTGTCCAAAAGTTTGTAGACACCTACTCATTCAGGGTTTGTTCTAAAATCAAAGGTATTAATAGGAGTTTTGTCCTGCTTTACTTCAGTAACAGCTTCTAGTCTTCTAGAAAGGCTTTAAACTAGATGTTAGAGCATTCAGCCACAAAAACATTAGTGAGGCCAGGTCCTTACTCCAACTCATCCCAAAGGTATTGGATGGATCTCCATCCAGAGAACACAGTTACACTGCTACACAGCCCAGTGCTGTGGGGCTTTGTATCTTTCTAGATGACGCTTGGCATTGGACATTGGTGCTCCAGAGCGTCCCATTCTATTGGCAATGCTTTTCTATAGAAATTGTACAAACTGTACAACTGAACACCTGTGTCAGCAATGTGTACACCTTAAATAATCTGAATTCACTAATTAGGAGTGTATAGTGCAACTAAAACTGCTAATGGAGTTGTGTAGAAGCACACAATTCAGTGCTAAAAGCTGTTGCTTTATTTGAGGAAAGATATAAAACAAATGTAGTTACCTACAATATTGTGTAAAAAAATCAGAGACCACCCTTCATGTATTTAATTTCCAGTCGGAACAGCTAGTTATTCATTATCAGGAGATATTTCCAAAACTGCAGTTCAAAAGATTAATGAACAATATAGAAAAAATTAGGACTACTAGCATGACCTGGTACATCATCAAAACTGTCAAGGTCAGATAAACAGCACTTACGGCTTTCATGTCTGAGAAAATCAAGCTCCACTCCTGCCTCAGAACTAAAAATTCACAAGTGTTTTTGTCCATCCTTCCACTGTGAGATGACAGTTCAACACTGTCTGAAAGGATGTGTAGCTGTCAAGGAGCTGTTACTGAGAAAAAGAAATGAACAAGAAAAAGAGCATTTGCACTAGAACATCAAAACTGGACATATGAGATATGGAGTAATGTTTTTGGTCTGGTGAGCCTAAATTTGTTCTTGGATCGTGAGAAGCAGAAAATGCAACTAAGTTCTAAGACTGAACTTTGGAGGTGTGGAAAAATATCCGTGCAGGTTTCTTTGAAAAACTGAAAGCAGCACTCTCAAAACAATGGCAGCTGTGATAAAGGCAAAGTGTGGACACACTTTATAACAAAATACTAAACATTTTGAAATTATATTTAGTTATTGAGACTTCTCTGCGACTTGCTGCTTTTTTCTTTAAAAAGATGGATTCTACTTAATGGCTGTTCTCACTGGAAATTAAATAAATCAAGGGTGGTCCCCGCCTTTCCACATTACTGTAATTGTTTAATCATATAGCACAAGCATTCTAAACCATGTCGTCCTCTTCTGCTTATGATTCACATGACAATGTGATGTTATTTGAAAGTTTAGAATGCTCACTTTCAGTAGTTTTTCTCTGCTTGTTTCAGTAGGTGAAGACAGAGAAATAATTATGCTTTTTTATCACTAATGCGTAGGTTAATTCTAAGGGTCAAATGCAGAACATTGTGGAAAGTGTTGTTATTATTATGAGGTCCAGGATTTTAACACTAGAAGTAAAGAGTGTGACCCACCGAGCCCTTGCATGTGTGAATATATAGATATGAAAGAATATGAAAAGCCTGTGTGTCCATGTGTTTTATACCAGAGCTTATAAAAAGTGGAAATCTCTTGTGTATGTGTGTGTGTGTGTGTGTGTGTGTGTGTGAGTGTTTGTGAAAGCACAGCTGATGTAATCTGGCTGAAGGTAATGAAGAATGACATCTGTGTGTAACCTGGTTTGGAGCGTTTGATTGGGGCTCTCCCCAGGGGAAGAATATAGATGTGTGTGGGGAGTGGAGGGGGGCTATGTTGGTTTGGCCATCTGCTGTGCTGGTCTGACTCCCTAATTTAGCCAGACCCTCACAATGGAAGAGGGAATAGCAACAAAGGAATCCCCCTCATGCTTGGAAATACATGAGAACAGCTTCTCTTATTAACCTTCTAATATAGTGCACACTTTTGATGCACATATCACTTTTCCCCTTACGACGTAGAGGTTCCTACATTGTAAAAAATGGTTTGTCTGTTCAAGCTAAAATAAATACTTCATATAACAAGCTATTTAAGTGGATTTATTCAACTGAAATAAATGCTTTGAATGAAACAATGCCAAGCAAAATAGAAACATGAACAAAAAACAATATTGAACATAAATTCCATCCTTAAGAAAACTTTAAATTTACTTCTGCATTGTTCCACTTTTTTTACAGTGTAACTTTATACCTCTCATCCTTCTGTAATTGCAGCTCTTGCGATTTGAAAATAACATTCTTTCAAATTGCGATTTTGATATAAAAACCCAAAAGTTCAGTTAGCACGCTGGTTCCAAAATCCAGACTGCTGATTGGCTGTCCACACTAAATTCTGTAAGCAAGTTATTGTCAGTTCTTGTTAAAACTTGTACGCTGCTCCTTTGATTACTCTGGAGTTCATGGTACATATGTGGTCTGTAAATACACACTTGAAACACATCACACTCATTTCTGCTTTAAGCCACAGCCACTTTCATTTGATCAATATAAAAAATTTATTTGGTCTATTTAACATTTAGAAGTGCAAATAGCAGTGTTTCAAGTTACATCTACTACAGTCTTTTCAATTTCAGTTTCACTTTAGTTAGTTACTTTTAGTTTAGTTTTTATTTTTGGAAAATAATAGTTTTAGTTTAGTTTGATTTAGTATTGTGGTACATGTTTTTGGGCGGTAAAGAAGGGCCTAGTTCGATTCCCCAGCCCGGGCGATCAGGGTCCTTTCTGTGTGGAGTTTGCATGTTCTCCCCTTGTTTGCGTGGGTTTTCCTCCGGGTGCTCCGGTTTCCTCCTACAGTCCAAAGTCATGCAGGCAGGCCAGTTGGATATGGTAAATTGCCCCTAGGTGTGAATGTGTGTATGAATGCATATCTTTGTGTCTGCCCTGTGATGAACTGGCAACCTATCCAGGGTGTTTTCTGCCTTTCGCCCAATGACCACTGGGATAGGCTCCAGCACCCCCCCGTGACCCATTTGGATAAAGCGGCTTAGATAATGTGTGTGTGTGTGTGTGTGTGTGTGTGTGTGTGTGTGTGTCTGTAAATGTTTTGTCACAAACCAGGCCTAAAAAGCAGGCCAAATTGGACCATATAAATGTCTTTAGATGAGTTTTACAGTGCTAAATTAGCTCTACAGTTGGCTATGCTCAGATGCTCAAAGACATTGCGACACAGAAAACATTATACCCCCCACCACCTTTGGAATACTGTTTTGTTTTGCAGTGGACATTGTGGTTTAGAGTTTTGTGTTTTTTTTAAACACTAGTTTCCATTTTAGAAATAGTTTTTGCTAATGTTTATGATGATCCTGAACGGTATTGGTATGTGTGTTGAACCCAGCCTTACTAGTGATTATAATACTTATGTTGTAGTAAAATTGATAATTATATCATTGTAACTTAACATGCAGTAATGTAAAGAGATTATTTTCCAAGTCATTTCCATTGGGCCTTTCATCATAAAGTATCTGCACAGTGTAAAAGACAGCTGATGTATTCAAACTGGAGTGGTTGATGGACGTTTTATTGTGACTGTAATAATATGCTTTCTCTGTCTTTCTCTCTCTTACTTTCTCTGGCTGATCTCCATGCTCTCTCTCTCTCTCTCTCTCTCTCTCTCTCTCTCTCTCTCAGTTCGCTCAGATGGAGGGATTCACTATGTTAAGTTGCCTCGTGCCTCCAGTGCTTCATTTGTGCTGAGATTCCTGGAGACTTTGTGCCATCACCTGCAGTGTGAAAACATGTTCAGCAGCCAGCCTTTCAGTCCACTCACTGCTAACAAACACAACGCCTACGACAGGGGCAAGTCAGGTACATGTGCTGGTGCTGCAAGAGGGCTGCATGATTAATCAGATTTTTATCATAATTTTAAGTTACAGACTTTATTGGTCCTATACTCAGTCTGGGAGCAGTATAGCGTTGCCAGCAAAGCAGTGCTGCCTGGGCCAGTGGGGGGGGGTCAAGTTGCCCAAGGGCACATCTGTGTATACCCAGTCAGTCTTGGGATTTGAACCCGCTACCTCCTGGCATCATCATCAGTATGAGTGTTCGTAATAAACACATTGCAATGGGCTACGATGCACCAAAGTTGCATAGTTATATTGGAGGGAATGTATCTTTAGGACACTGCTCATCTTGGATAGTAAATAAAATGGCTGTAGGCATTGCGACACCTGGTTCCTATCACCACCACTGTAGAGAAATCTAGTTTGTAAGTTTCTCTACAATGAACCATTTCACATTTGACCACTCTGAATGACTTTCTTTACATCTCAATGATGGAATTATAAGGAAATTTATAAAAATCACTGGACTATTGTCTAAAAAAATCAAGGCTTACACATCCAGTCAGAGAAACACTGAAATTTTCTCAAACTGTCATCACAGTATTGAATACCGAAATATATTTCAGTTTATTGAAAAAAACATTAGTAAACCCTTAATGTTAAAAACTGTTGCATGGCTGATTTTGCTAATTAGGTTCCCTTTTTTCTCATAATTGAAGTCATATGGTTAAAACAAATACCTGCGTGCGCCAGCACTGAATATCAGGGGCCTAATGACTCACACAGTTTATTTGCTGCTTTGGCCTTCAGTAAAGGAAGAGACATCAGAGGCCTTATCTATAGCACGGAGCAGCAGGCGTTTCAACAGAGACTCCTCCACTTACAGTACCCCGATGTCCCCCAACCCACAGAGAGCGGACACACACTCTTCAGAAGGTATATTCATCAGAGCTTTGTCTTTTGTCTGTCTGTTTCTGTATATTTGTCTGGTGTGTTCTAGTATGTGCAAACACAAATACATCCACTCAACTGCATGACACACCACAGTTAAAGGGTCATTTCACATGCTCATTTTTCAGCCTCTCATTATGTCTTAAAAGGAAAACAGTTGTTTTTGTTACTGTGCCTTTAAGCCTGGCATACGTAAATGACATCTGTTCTGATTGGTTGCCCTTTATTGTATTTAATTCAATAAGCAGTTTCGGCTGCAACACATAACTTAAGCGCCAATCTTCGATTTAATTTTCCAAGATTTGGGTACTTTAAGGCTGTTTATACGCCTAGTTTCTCCACTGGGTTCAGTTGGTTACACATTTCAGCTGCTAAAGTGCACCAAATTATACACATAGGTGTTCACTGATTGGTCAGAAATTTGGCATAAACCTCCCAGTGCCCTTTTCAGAGAGATCTTGCAGTGTTCTTGTGAGCAGAGGCGCTTGAATTAATTGGCTGAATGGAGTGCTTCCTGCTGCTGCAGCTGAAAGCCCCATGGCAGGAGTTCACTGCTTCCATTCACTCCCTCATTAACCACTCATCCATTCCCAATGATTAAAACTCTCCTTCGTCTAGCACCCATGCCTAATTAATGTGCCCACATTGTTAACTAATTAAGTGCCCCAGACATTGTAAGGCTATTGGCAACCTGTGGTTTTATGATTTTTTTTTTTCCTTTCGGTGCTGAAGTGAGTGCAGTGGCTCGAAGGTAATTTAGCCACATGGGGATGTGGGTGTGGTCTGTGTGTATTTGCAGCTGTGAGGGGATTGCTGTGTGTTGAGTCAGATTTGTGCATGTGCGAATCTTGCTGAATAGAACATTTCTTTTGTGTGTGCATTACTTTTAACCTCTCGGTTTAGACGTCTTTCTAACTCGAAGCTGACGAATATATTGGTTGACTGATAATTTCAGTTGATATTGTTGACGTGCGGTTTTATTGTATTGTTGAAAATACTAAAAAATACAGACCTTTGTGTTACTTTAGACCTATTTTTTTTTATTAATTTATGTATTTTTCTTTCATATACCTTGACCACTTTTAATGATGAAAAAGCTACTCCCCGCCTGAGTCATGTAACGAAAGCGGAAATGAGCAGAGATTTGAGCACAAATGATGAATCAACTTCAGTGTGTGAAATCAAGCGCCTGCCTACTACCACCTCATTAGCATATTATTTACATGACACACACCCTAATTTATGCAGCTGTTTCAGTAGAGAGCCAATAAAACAGCATTCAGTAGCTCTTGAGCCAATGGCTGTGTTCGTAGGTGGAGTTTGAAGTCAAGTGGTGAGTGCACTGCTCCCCCTACTGACCAACGTTTGTGTTAAAATTACACAACTTGAAAGAATAAAATGTGAAATTAACAGAACATCTTTGAATGATATAATTGTGTAGTGTGATTATTTCCCTATAATAACACATGTAAATGCTGTATTATTTCAGTGTGTGAGATGTTTTGTATTTTGTATTTTTTTAGCTGGTGTCAGTAGTATAAAACAAAAGCACATTGTAAACAAGTCATTAAATGGAACAGGGAATAGTTGCAGTATTTGTTTATACCAATGTGCATGTAAAATAAGTACACTTTTGTACTGGATTGCCATGTGCAGAAATTATTAGTATTGTTGTTATTTTTAATTTTTACTCTTATTGGTATTTGGTGTTTGGATGATACAGAATAGTTTGGTTACTTAACCACAAATCAGGCATTTATGTTGTTCAGCTTGTTAAACTAATATGCTCAGATTCACACACATTCCTACCAGACATGAGTTTAATCATATAGATACCCTAAAGATGAAATCAATGAATGACTACAACTGTCAGTGAAATTCTCATGCGCTCATTTTCCAATCAGATTTGACCGAATGCAACTTTATGAATAAAGGCCAACATGAGTTTCAGCTTTTTGCTGGAGTTGAAGAAATTTGACATATATTAATATAAAATCATCAGACAATATTATTGGTAATCTAAATTTTCAGCCCCTTAGAATCTGTCTAACATTAGTTTTAAAGTGAAGGCTGCAGCCGAGATAGGAGAAACCTTACTAGCGCTGATATCTGAAAGCATTCTGCAGTAGTGTCTGGTACCTGTAGTGCTGAAGTGTATTTCACTATGCTTTAAATATTTTGGCAAAAATCGACATTTTTCACTTTTTGCAAATGTGGTCATCCAAAACATGTCTGGTGTCCAGCACTGCCTCTTTAGTTTTTTCACTGAACCTGCAAGGCTAATGTAGCTCAACAAGTAATGGAAGCTTATAAATCAACTGTGAACAAAATGCATGGATAAAATCTCACACATGTGCGGTCAAGATGTTAAGTAATCTCATATAGACTTTGTAATGTGGTTTCTGATGCTGTATGACTTACTGTTATCTATAAAAACGGATAAAAGTACAGACAAAATGCAGACTTCCTGCTGCTACTCTTTGTAGATATGCAGTGTTCTTTTGTCCACTGCAAGCTTCAGATACCAAACATGTTTTGACTGTTCAAAACGTGGAAATTTGATTTTCTGCTTGACTGTTCCATCATGCACATACTCCTCATTGTATGCCCTTCAGATTGTACTTTTTACTCGGTCTTACTGCTGCTTCCTCTCAGCAGAAACTCTCCCCCACGCTGAAAATGGTGTTGCTACAGACCAGCACTTCGCTGAGGAGCCCATGGACACCAGCTCTGTAGCATCTCGGCCTCCTGCCCAGCGGAGCACGTCCGAGTACCGCGGTACGGCCAGCAGCAGCCCGCACTACACCTCCCAGCCTCCCCCTCTCCGCCGCATCACCTCCAACCCGGCCGAGCTGGCCACCACACGCACACACAGACGAGTGGAAGGTACGCTATGTAAGAGAGCTTTGCTTCATAAACATTTACTTTTGCAGCCTTTAAGCAACATCATAATGTTATTTTTGATTCTAGTGCATATTAGACAATATCATTTTGTATTTATATTTTAATTGTGTACTCCAATACTTTTAGTTAAATATGACTGATATGACTTAGACTGGGGGTCTCAGCGACAGCTTCATATAGCCAGTCACATGTTTTCAGTTTATCCTTAAATCTGGCCTGCAGATTTTTTTTTTGGTTTCACTGTGACTAAATATTCATGTCTGATGAGTAAATTTGTTTCACCCACCATGGTGGCTGGTTACCCAGTATATGCTATATAAAATCAGCTTAAGCTGATGCTTATCGTGTTAAAAGCAAAAACAGAGCGCCGACTTGACTTGCATGCAAGAGGAAACATTGAAACACCATCCTTAAATATTATTGTAATTTAGGCTGATTGTTAAATCTGCCTTTATCGATTCATTCATTGTAGCAGTGGATACAGAATGTCAGAACTGAGGAATGAATGGAATTATAAAAGAAATCTAACAGATTTAACCACCTTGTAAACGCTTCTCTCACATTTACTTAATTCACATTCAGCAGAAACACCTCTACAATCACAGTAAGACCTGTATAGTTCCACTGTTAATTGTAAGTTTACAGCATGTAATTGAACACTGAAATAGACTTTTGCTTCTCCTCCTCCTCCTATTGCTCTCCTTTCTCTCTTTCTAAATTTGGAAAATGTTTAATATTGATATGCGTGCTAGAAGACTAAATAGAGTGAGTCACAGTGGTCAAAAAACCTATTTTTTCCAGCACTATACACAATTTGCCTGAAAAAAAAAAATCACAGAGATTTGTATCCTAATGAGACTAAAATTATCAGACAACCTCTCAGTTTGGTGAAAAACAGTAGTTAATTCGGCCTGTAATTTTCTCATGGAGGGAGAAAAACACAGACGTGGCTGATTTAGCTGCCGATAAAATCACAGAGGAGCGCCTGTAAAAGAGGACCCCACGTAAATTTAATCCCATCCAGAAAGGAATTTAATGCCTGTAATAGAGCTTAAAATATTTGTCGGAAATTGACAGGAACCGATTATTCATGTCGTGGTTTTACCAGCTTCAAACATCTGTTCAGGTTCATGTTTCCCACTCTCATCATCCGTCTTCTAAACAGATTTTTTTTTTTTTAACTTTATTCTTCCACCCTACTTTTATTACCTTGAACAGTTTTTAATCTAGTACACTGGCACAGAGGCCTTCTAGGACCAAGGGCCTTCTTTTGAAGTTCATTTCTCAGCGGTGTGGTGAATGAATGTCATTGCTTAGTGTGAATAACTGTATAAACACCTTTATCATTCCGCCACAGCACTAGACAGCTTTCAGCATGCACCAAGATTAAATATGGACTAAATCGCGGTGACACTTTAACCCCCCCAAAATAAACATCCCGGTAAGCTTGAATAGGCTTTACAGAGACTTGATTGCTCGCTTACCGATGAGCGATGCAGTGGTTCTTTGTGTTTTAGTACGTCACATAGTTTTGGTTACAAATGACATGATTCTAAAAGAATGGTGCCTTTTTCTGCCGTTTTTATAACGTCCTACTTTTGCATGTTTTGGTTTATGCCTTTCAGTGTCAGAATACACACTGCAGTACCATCTGCTTGTGTGACCCACACTTCACAAATAATTTAGATGTGCTTCAGCTTCCAAGGTTCCATTACTGGTTAGTGAGAGATTCACAATGGCTTAAAGATGCTTGTGCAGTCAGGTGTAGTAGTTCAGCCAGATTTAAAATGTGGCCTTTGTTCCATGATTAGCAAACGTACAGTACTGTGCGAGTCATAGACCACCCTTTCATTGATTTATTTTCTAATTAACATCATCCGTATTTGGTAGGGGTGGGAATCTCTAGGCACCTCACGATTCGATTACGATTCAGAGGGCTGCGATGCGATTATAAAACGATTATCGATGCATCTCGATGCATCTTTCTTCTCTATGTAGCATTTATATTTTCTCACTGTGAGCTCAAGTTTCGAGTTCAAGTTTCAAGTTTATTTGTCACTTGCATAACATGTCAGGACATTTATGCATTGAAATGCTTGTGGTGAGGCTCAGCTAATCACTCTACAGAAAGTAAATAAGTAAAAATAAAAATACAAGAAAAACCAACTGAAATATATTAAATATACACAAAATATATACAGAATATAGAGACAATATACATTTTAAAGTGACTAAGTGACTCAGTACTTTTAAAGCAAAGTATTTATAATGATCCATAATGAATTTACTTCCAATATCTATTATTAATAAATCAAATGGAAGTGATGTGGCAAGTGAACTAGAAGGCTCTCATTCAGTGCTCTTGTTTGGAGCACGAGAAGCTGCTTAAAATGCGATAAAATGCGCAGTTACGGTGAAATAAGATCCAGTGGTGATGGATGTCCACGCAGCACATGTTACAGCTATTCTAACCGTTTTCTTTAGTGATTTTATAACTTCGGTTTTGGTCTCGTTATAGAGACGGGGGGGGGGGTCGCTGTGTCAGTAAAATGTCTTTGAGACGGGTCGTGTGCAGAACTGCAGGTCACATAGCAGCGATGCGTTATTCGCATTTATAAGCGCTGCTGTTGGTTTCCTGGTACGTTAAATCTGCAACGAGAGACTGTGAAACACTAAAAAGTGGCGAAGCTGAAGTCGCTTCTTTTTCGAATTCTCCCGTTCCACCTTAAATGGTGCCACATCAGAATTTAAGGTGGAACGGGTAAATTCGAACAAGAAGCTGGAGAATAAGAAGCGACTTCAGCCTCGGAAAACAGTCGAACGTTCAGAGACATTTAACTGATCAACTTCTGAGGAAAGGTTTTCTGGCGGAGATGGGAGGAAAGCGGCTATAGGCGAAGCTTAAAGCAGAGCGAAGTAAATCTGCGTTTTCGTTTATATTGTTTAGCCTATACTAGGACATCATCACATACTGAGACATACTGGACATTACATTTTGTGGCTCCCAAAGTGGTTTGAATCTGTTGAAAGGACAAAATGGCTCTTCTTATCATTTGTGTTGTGACTCCTGACCTAGCCTGGCTTTAATGCAGAGGGAGCCGGTCGGATTTCTCGCTCACCCAGTTGTGTTTTTGTTATGTGCCACTACAGACTGTCCGGGCGCTGCACTTCCGCACTTCCAAGTTCCGCCTTTTGCGTTCCGTCAACATTACGGTATAAATTAAATATTTAGAAAATCGATTTTTGACATTTGTGAATCGATTCAGAATCGTTCACGACCGCATCGCGATGCATCTAAGAATCGATTTTTTCCAGCACCCCTAGTATTTGGTGTGCCCACTCTTTGCTCTATTATTTTCAGGAGACTTGCTTTCAGTTTTTCAAAGAAATTTGCAGGGATGCTTTTCCACACCTCCAAACTTCAGTCTTAGAAGTTCGTTGCACTTTCTGCTTCCCACAAGTAATCCCAAACACATTCAGCAATGGACTCTGGAGTGGTCAGTCCATTGTTCTGAGAACCCCAGCAGCTTCTTTGTTTGATTTGCAAACTTTTTTTAGATCTGAAGAGTGAAGCCAGATTTTTCTCCAGTCTTTCAAAGATGAAAGCTTCAAATACTGTTTTTCTGATGATGGTCTATCAAGTCTTGCACGGTTATTATTAAGTCACATTTGTATTTTGGAAACTCCTGCTTTTTCACTTGTTTTCTTTTGACTTTTCCTTATGCAAGTGGATCTTATCTCCTCAAAAATGTCTCCTGAAAAAACTTGTACTTTAAGGCCATTGTGAATGGAAAATAAAGGATGGCCTCTGACTTCTGTTGAGAAGATGAAGTAGCAGAACCTGTTTTGTTTCTCTAAAGAACCTTTAAATAACCATTTTGGTAAATGATGTGTGAGTGTGAAGAACTTTCTAAAGTTTAAAGAACCTCCACATAATGTAAAAGTATTAAAACAATCAAAGGTTTTTCTCAGAACCATACGTCAAGAGCTGTTTAGGAACCTTTATTTTTAAGAGCGTAGCTACACATTTTATAAAGCTAGTTAAAGATACTGGCAGAAGATCAGGAGGGGTGTTTGGTTAATTTATAAGCTCTGCAGATGTCATTGTAAGAAAGTACGCCAAGTCTTTGACAGTGTGAAAGGTGTTGTAGGAGAGTAGAAACTGGTGTGCTGTTAGGTCAAAGGCTCATGGTAGTTGTTTGGATGTGTAACTGAATTTCTTAGCCTGTTAACGCTGACTCTCACCTTGTGTTCCTTTGTGTGTGTGTCCATATATGTATTTGTCTGGTATTCAGCTGCCAGCTCTACTACAGGTCCCGATCACCAGATGACAGAACGAGAGGCGTCCAATAGAAGCCCATCCTCCTGGAGCATAGAGGAAGTGATGCAATTTGTGCGTGATGCTGACCCTCAGGCACTAGCTCCTCATGCAGAGCTCTTCAGGAAGCACGTATGTACCATTTTGTGTTTTTATCAAAACTTCTGAAACATAACAACAAACCTGTTCTGTACACCTCAGAGAACCGTCAAACACTGCATAACAAGTACCTCAAAGTGTGAATTCACACCATCTGTGAAGCAAGCTGCCACCTGACAGTTATAGCTAGATCCCTGTTTCAGGGCAGTGAACGTTTAAATTACTGACTAAAACCCACAAAACGGGCTGTCCTAAAGTCCACATGTGGCATGTTGGTTTTGCTTAAGTTTTTTAAATTTTGCTGAATTTCTGAATTTATGTACTGTACTGTATACTGGATACTGTCTTTACAGTTGTTCTTGTCTTTTACAGTGCAATACTACAGGTCTTTTAAAATTCAAGATTTCATTGAGTTTTAGGTTTTACTTTTTATATTGTATTTTTATATTTTTAGTTTTTGCCTAGCAGTAAACCCCAGCAGCGCTGTGCCTAAAACACTGATACCAGTACAACACACTAAACTGACAATAAATGATATTTGTGTAAACAGTCAAAAGAAAAACCTGTACGCGTGGCTCCCTTAAGGATGTGTCTCCAGTACCTTTTAATTGTTGTGCCATATTCTGTGGCAGTTATATTTTTAAGTTGCATTGACTCCACTCACCCGCTGTTGGCTTTTTATTTTGGTTTCTACTTGAACGTGTAAAGCTAGAAAAAGGCATAACTTTTGTGAAAGTGAATGTAATGTACCTTTTAAAACTAATTTGCTGGAGGGCCGGATTCCTGCAGAGTTTGGTGATTTTCTTGCTCAAGAACACCTGACTCAACTCCTCAGTTAATTACCAAGTTTAGTTAGTGTGCTAGAAAAGAGAAATCACCAAACTGTGCTGGATTCTGGCATCTGGTGGCTAAGATATTGTGCATAATAACAAATGAGCTACAGTCAGTAACTGTGTACCTACAAAGTGCATCTGTATGATAAAGTAACCAATGAATGTAGGTACGTAGGTAGTATCTCTTATTGTAGAGTGTTTATTTCCTGATTCTTAATCGTTTTTATGCTGTTTCATTGTTGCAGGAGATCGATGGCAAAGCTTTGATGCTGTTGCGGAGTGACATGATAATGAAGTACATGGGGCTGAAGTTGGGCCCCGCCCTCAAACTGTGCCATCACATCGAGAAGCTGAAACAGGGAAAACAGTAGCTGGCTCCTCCTGAGCCCAGCACATACATACAGACTCCAGCAGGGGGCGACAGAGTGCACCAAGTCCTCTTGGAGTCAGAGTTGGAGAAGGACACAGAAGACACACGGAATTGATTTGGATGGAGTTGGCGTAGACTTGCACATGCTGGCCAAGTAAACACCAAAATTAAGAGGTTCCACAAGCCGCATAAACGTCGCTCATTGATGTGTGGATGATATAAAGCAAGCACCAACAATCAGAGGCCACGATCTTTTACATTGACCAGACTTTTGTGCTTGTTTCAAATTGGGTCTAGCAGAGTGCAGAGCTCCTCAGAGATGAGGGTGGCAAAATGATCTCAGTACGCTGAGATTGTCTCAGATGCAGATTAGAAACCACCACTAATGACCTCAGCACCTCCTTTTGTAAGAAGGACAAACAGGCAGCAATTCATAGACGACAAGCTGAATCCCAAAGGGTTTCTTAGTCTAGTGTCCTTGCATAGTGTTCTTATACTGCCCGTATGCACAGACAGAACCTTGCTGACTGTTAATGATGACTTACACTGTCCTTTTTGTTTTCCCCCTCCTACTGGGAAAGCCTGTTGCAGCTATTGGTAATAACCCATTATATGCTGTTCAGTAGGGTCCACTTTATAACTTTACAATTGTAAAATTTTGTGTAGCTTTAGTACAACCAGACAAACTTGACAAAATCTTTGTACACACCATAAACCAAAAAACTTATAAAAGGCAGCTCTCCACTTGGAGCTTCTTTCAGATCACTCATACAGTACTGCGCAGAAGTCTAAGACACCTGAGAAAATTAGATTTAATAAGCTATTTATTTGGGAAGTTTGTGTTTATTTGCTCAGAATAACAGTATTAGAATAATTACAAAGAATATTAATACAAAATATGAATATGTTTGTACCATTTCAAACCTCTCCTTGATGGAGCCCAGTATTATTTGAGGTTGTCATCCTCCAGTACCTGATTCATTAAATTAGATCAGGTGTTGAATTCAACAAACCTACGCAATGGCTGTTCTTCAGTTTATTACAGGTTTTTTTTAAAGCAAGAAATTCTTGTTACTGCATATATGTTTGTTTGCATTTATTCTATTGTAATATAGTGTTATACAAACAAGAACAGTTATTGTGCAGATAAATGGTTTAAAATCATTTGCTTAGTTGCCCAAAACTTTTGCACAGTACTGTAGATTTTATAAAACACAGTATGACTACCTATACACAGCACATATAGTCAGTGTTGCCTACAGCAAACTGAAACACTTGCTATTATTTATTGCTAAAGACTGTAATTCACTCAGGATGAGGATTGGTATTTTTTGCTTTTCATTTATAAGCCACTTAAATCATGCCATCGTCATCTACACATCATGAAAGGAATGACCTGCCTATACAATTCTGTTACAATTCATATGTTTCAATACATATTACATCATGCCATATAGGCCAAAGTAAAGGAATTATGTGATTTAGATTTAGACCCTTTAGATTACCGGCACTGAACACTCCTCTGTTGATCCACTGGACTAGCTGTATTAAGGATTCTTTCTATTAAAACTGTCATTTGGAATTGCCAGAATGGTCTGGTTAGTTGGCTAGCTCTCTGAATGGAAAATACACACATTGTGCATTTTGGATGGTGGTGGTTTGATTTGAAAACTTCTTCAGTTGCCATAAAAACTGCCTGGAAATTCTTGATGGGGCCTTGTAGCCCAACATTTCCACATGCAGTTATATCTGTGAACAGTCTGTCATGTTTAAAAAACATCACACTGGTTATATCTCAGATAAAAGTTGTTCCTGTTCTGACATTTTTGCTATCTGATCGTTTATATGTTCCACATGTGCCATGTTAATATCATTTCATGTTTGTGTTTTGATGTTTGGAACATTTAATCATTTATTTAATGTGTAGAAACCATTCATTTTAAAGAACATGGTTTTCTTGTTACTACAAGATTTCAAGAATTGTTGGAGAAAAGCTATTTAAATCTTTGTATTCATATGTCGTTAGTTATTTCCGCTTAGTTCTTAAGACATCCATACATTACTGTGACTCAGGTTGAAGTAGTTTTCATTTATTGGAATACTTTTCTACAGTAGCATAAATATTTGCATTTAAATGGCCATTTTGCATTATTTTTCATACATTTCATGGAACAAAATTGCCTCTTCAAATGCTCTAAGTACTTGAAAACATCGTTACAGTTGACCACATCTGAAATTGTTGCCATTGCCAGTACAGTTATTTTTATTAAAACTTTAAAAAGAATCTGTCTGTCTGTTGTTGCACTTATTCAAGTATGGGTGACTCTGTTAGGTATTTTTTCATAAAGGAACATCCACATGTATTATCTTAAAAACAAAAAGCATATCTGATATTAATTTCAGTTCTTTTAAAGGAGAATTTGACTGAAATTTCTGCTAAATTCAATCATTGAGATGTAAACAAAGTTATTCAGAGTGTTGATATGCTGCATTGTAGAGAAACTGACTCTGATTGGACGATTGGTGATGATGGGAACCAGGTGTTGCAATGTCCTTAATGCAGATACAGCCATTTCATTTACTATCCAAAACAATCAGTGAAACTATGTGTGTATATGTGTGTTAAATAGTAGTAAATCTCTGGGGACTATTTTGCCTTACAACACCCTGCACTGGACATAAAAAATGTTTTCGGCCAAAACTTTCACTCAAAACTGTGATAAGACAGTGTCTCCAGTATTAAGTAGCAATACTTTTATGTGAAGTGTCAGATGTCTGGTTCCTCACCACCGTTGTGAACAATTCTGACTCAGGAAATTACACTGAAATTCTGAACAGGATTCCTATAATTGAACTGTAGTATGTTGTAATAAGAATCAGAAATATGTCTATTTGGTAGGACGAAATGTTGCCACATGCTGTTTCTTGACCGGGTGAATATTCATACTTTGAGAGGTCATTCTCTTTAGCTTGACCACTCTGTTCTTTAATATGTGTTCCTGTGGCTGCCTTACTAATTTCTCACAGAAGACAGCAGGCGTCTGCAGTGGGCCTATAACTCTGCTATTCTGGCCTGCAGACTTTGCTGTGTTTTCAGAAAAGTACCGTTCCTTTGTCCATTTGTACTGAGTGCCAAAGTCTATATCAGAGTGACTGTTCAAGTGATTGGGCTCATGTCTTCGTGAATACTTTATAGGATGAATGATTCGCTCTGTCAGGTCTTCGTTTGCTGAATTATTCCTGTAATATTTCAGCTTACTGCCAGCGCATGACTTAAAGTATGAGTTGTTCGCTACCGACAGGTCCAAAGCAGAGTCTTGCGGAAGAGGAAACTGAACTTCTTGCTTGGTTTGAATTGGAGTGACCTTAATTCTAAGGTCAAGCACTTCTTGCTGGGAAATTGAAGGGAGAGGCAGCCTTGGTAACTGCAGGCAGCGACAGTCAGACTTTGTGCTGTGGGTCACCGTGGGAATGCCAAAGGCATCTTTTGAAGTCTGAGTGCTTTTGTTCTTTTTTGTACTATAGGCTGCACTTGGGGAACTAGAGAGAGCTTTGGAGTCTGGAAATGAGACCGGGATTGGGATTGGGATCGGTATAGGTAGGGGCACTGGCAAAGGGACAATGAGTGGATAAGGCACTAGCAAGGTGGCAGGAGGAACAAGGGAGACCAGTGGTGACCCAGTATAGAGGTATGGCAGAGGGGATTCTTGGGGTAAGAAGGGATTTGATGGGACTGATCTGGTCCCTTGACAAGGTGAGGAACCATAATTTCTTAGAAAATGAAACGGTTCTTGCAAAACTGTTGTGAATTTAGAACAGTGCAAAGCAGAATTGTCTGAGGGTTGAGACAATATATCTGATTTCTCTTCACCATGCTGAGGTTGACTCAACGGCACAGATAGGTTCTGAGATGGTCCATGGTTCTGCTCAGCTCCTGACAGATACTGCTGTTCTGGGATCAGACATGAGCTCTGGAGGAGAAGTTGGGAGCTTAAACATTGCAAACCTGGCTGATCCAAGATAAGTGGTAAAGAGAGGGAGGCTGGACTGGGTGCAATGACTGGTGAGGCTACTGTCTGACCAACCTGGGGGTCTGCTCCCCCCGCTACCTGCAGATGAACAGGCAGCACTACTGGACTGCCTCCAAGGCAGAGAGGTTGTAGCAAAGAAGTTGCCATTTTGAAAATTAAACCCAGTGAAGGTTCTGAGAGTGGGGTGAACAGGGCAGAGTCTTCGACTGCCACATCTGTGGAAAGGGCTTGTCTTGCAGGTTCATTTAAATTGTTGCTCCAGGCCTGAGTAGAGAGAGTCCTGTTGTCCAAAGCCTCTGCTCCTTCAGATGCTTTAGTTTTGATCCCACTGTTTTGATGAATTTCACTGTGAAGGTCCTCCATGATGACCTTCTTTTTCTAGAAAGGAGCAGAATGGGTCATCAGTCAAATGAAAATGATGTATAAATGTACAAATATAAAAAAGTAATTTAAAACAAAATAGTTTTCTTGACCATAACCTAAAGGGTGATTATCAGCATAATTTAATAATTAAGATGTAAATTAAGTAATTCAGAATAGTTTGATTTGAAATGCACCATTCTAGAGAAGCAAATCAGAAGTGTTCATGATGTACGTGATAAGAACCAGACGTCCAAAGCATTTAATTCCTCTAAAAGCAACGTTACAGAAATGTATTACATAGAACGATTGAATACTTTGCCTGATGCCTGAGACACAGTTTTACAATAATTATAACAGAAGATTTTCTGAGTTTTCAAAGAAATCAGAGTTGGTAAGTTTCTCTACAATGCACTGTTTCTCATCAAAACAGTGGTACGGAATTATTTAATTACACAGAAATGTTGAGAAACTGGTGGAATTCCCCCTTAACCTTCACAATAGTCAGTGAATGCTGCTGGAGACTAAACCAAAACAATGACCTTACAATAGAATCTTTATTAAAATGCCTCCTGCACTGATTTAATGAAAGTATTTGCCTTGAAGAGATACTTGCTGACATAGTCCATTAACAAAGAAAAATAAAATGAAATCCTGTAACCATCTCCCATAAACTATTAAACTAAATATGATTTACATCAATAGAAAAGTCTAAGAAATAAATTCTGATCACTTGTGTATAATGTCAGACTGACAAAGTATTAAACATAAAGAAAACATATGATTTCCTTTCATTTCAAGAGAAATATCAAAAATGTTATAGTCTTGCTCAGTAGAAGCCTCCAAAAAAAGCAAATGCAATGATGATATGTTGTCTTTGTGATCAATTACATCAACATACTCTTTTTTGAGTATGTCATAGGAATTGTTAATACTTATGCAACATTTGAGCAACTGTTGGATCATAAAAAAGATTTAGATCAATTATAGAGACCCTGTGAACAACAGCAGCCAGTGTACTCATAGATGCATGGAAATTTCGGCTACTGAAATTGTTCGAAAGTAGCACTTTTGGTTTTTAGGCGAAAGAACGGGAAGAAGAACTATAATGAAAATAAGAAATACTGACTAAAACCATTGTTTTCTTCACTTTGCTGTGCTGGTCACCACTGACACATTTAAACAGTTTGAGCAGCAGCAGATCAACAGTGAAATACTCGCGTTGCCGCTTAGACCCGTGTTTTATGCAGCCTTTAGCTAACATGATATTCTAGCATTAACTGATTTAAAATAATACTTTAATGTAAATCACATATTAAACTAGAAAGGGAAAGTTTGTGAATTAACTTTAAGTTGACTTGACAACACTACTGCTATGAAATCCCAGGTGGCTGCTAAGGTGTTACTAGGCCATTGCTATGGAATTCCAGGTGGATGGTAAGATGTTATTAGGCCATTGCTATGCTATCCCACGTGGTTGCTATGGTGTAGCTTGGCAGTTGCCATGTTATGGGGGAAAAATTGAATTAACACTGTGCAAAAACTCTACATGTGATCGGTCCCAAAAGCACAAGTCAACTGTTCCCATTGAGGCTCTATGATGCTGTCAAATTTTGTGGTTCTTGTTTGAGAACTGCAACCCATAAAAATAGTACAAACAAGCATAAAATAATAATCTGAAGAACAGTAATTTGGCTTGCAACTTATTATTTAATTGTCAATTAAATAATATTAAGGAACTCAACATCTTTTAGTAACAAACTTTTCCACCTCTTGTTTTTAAAGTTGTTACTGCAAACATTGTTTATTAGGTCCTGCTGGACTTCACACCTGTTTCTTCTCTTTAAAAGAGGAACAATAAAGCGACTTGCGTAATGAGAGAAACTCCCAATTGCTAGACACGAGCACGGATTTCCAAGTGGGGCATTAACTATACTGTGGTCCAGGGGTGTCCAATCTATGTAAGGGCTGGTGTGGCTGCAGGTTTTCATTCCAACAAAGTAGGAGCTCACTTGATCGGCTGTTGGAGAGGCCGACTGATTAAACAAGTGGAATCAAGTGTGCTCCTGCTTGATTGGAATGAAAACCTGCAATCGGACCAGCCCTTTGCGGAGAGACTGGACACCCTTCAGTAGTTTAACAGTTTATTAATGCCCTGCATTTATCCATTGTTTTAATAGTAAAAGGGATTAAATATTACATGTACATATTATATGATATTTCTTTGACAAGCGGTTTAAAATGAAATTATGTTGACGATGCCTTTAAAGCAGTGGTGACCCACTATCATACCCTCTTATAAATGTTCTGCTGGAACATTTTGTTCACTCCAACTAAATATTGTGATACAAATCGTTATGAAAATATTTGCACGTATCATGATTTCTTTTTTACATTTTGCCCACTCTTACTATAATTTATCACTGCTTTATAGCTACAGAGCTGAAAACAAGAACAGCCTGAGCACGATCTTCCCCTCCCCTCTCCTGCGGTTAAGAGGTTAGGCTCAGGGTAATAGGACCACATGTAGCTGTTTAGGGATAAGCTTTTCATATTAAAGGCATGAGAGGCCTGCGGTGAACCTCTGGAAAACACACACATATGCAAATACCCAGAAACAATATGGCCAGTTTCCGTCATGGCAATAATGTAGAGCTTAAATCAAACAGTTGGTTTCTCATGTGATAGATCACAGGACACTTTCTGATCTATTATGAAATAAAAATCTGATGAATTATTGACATGGTTGCTCTTGCCTTAAGTCCATGATTAGTTTATGGTCTCGCTCATGTGTGGAATATTTTGTTCCAGTCTGGTCTTGCACAGAAAAAGCTGGGCCTGGCACTCTTAGCTGTGTAAACGTAACATTTCAACATAAATGTGCCGTAAGGAACTGAAACAGTCATAAAGTGCTACTCGTCTGCACAGAGCATTGTGTTTTACAAGTGGCACTTTTTTGACAGGATTGAGTTTAATTTCCTTACCCCTCTGTTGCTTTACATGCATGTGCCAGCCAATGAAATGTTGTAACCAATAATCAACCATAAATTCAAGCTTTTGTTTAAACACTTGGAAAATAAACACAAGTCTGACACTACCAGCATCGTGAATTCTACTTTATGGGCCTGAAAAGTATTAAATGGCCTGCCAAGAACTCCAGAATAAATCGCACACATAAAAAAGGCCTTTTAAATGGTAATTCGGAGTTGGAAAAGCTAGAAGATCACTAGCTGACTGCACCGATGATTTACCCAAGCTGAAACTATTCTCTGGTGGAGGAACTATGTCATAAAGCTGAGATTTCAATGATTCAGCGTTTCCAAACACACCAAGTACCTGCCAGGGAGACAGGCTTTTTTTTCTGTGCATGTCTCTTCCCCAAAACTGAACATGTCTCCAAACATTATTCACTTTCAATTAAACTATACAATGGGTGAAAAAACAACATAAAGTGAAAAAATAACTTCAGTGTGCTTTGGCATAGACTCTGCAAGTCTCTGAAGGGATGGAACACTAATCTTCCAAAAGATATTCCCTCCGTTATTCCTCTAATGACGGTGGTGGAGAGCACTATCTTACACATTGGTGCAAAAACTCCCACAGGTGTTCAATTAGATTGGGTTCTGGTGACTACGAAGGCAATAACGTGATTTACATCATTTTTAATACTCATCAAACCATTTGGTAACCATTTAGTAACTCCTCATGCCTTGTGGAGGGGTGATCCTGTAAGAGACTACTCCCATTAAGACAGAAATGTTTCATCACAGAATAAGTAATCAGTCAGAATAACCTTGTATTGATTTGCAGTGACCCTCCTCTCTAAGTAGACTTAAACCATGCAAGCAAAATGCTACACGCAGTATAACACAGCCACTGGACCACCTCGCTGTAGGGGTCAAATATTCAGGTCTGGATAACTCCACATGTTTGCAGACAAGTGCCTGTGGTTTTTGCACCACTGAGCACTTAAAAGTGCATTGGTCTTTGTAACGAGGGGTTTATGCACTGCAACTATAATATCCTTCTCTATATAGTTGTAGATGAACTGTTCTTGCTTTCACAGTCAGATCATGTCCTGCACTGACATCCTCTGTCACCTGAGGAACAGTTGCTCTTTTGTTTTTCCTCCTATTTTGTGCTTAAGCACCAGCTTCAAGGTCACTGAATGTGCGCTTCTGACTGCAGTTTCCAATCACTTTCCAATCAGACTCCCATGCATCTAAAGGCAGATGTCACTTTAGTCACTGCGCTTGTTAAAACAGTCAGCTGAGTAGTTTTTGTGATTGAAATTCTAACCATCTGTGCCCCAATACTGAAACCTCTTTCAAAGTCCCTTTTGTCTTTTCTTCTTCCCATCTTGATATAAAATCGAGGTTAACTTGGCCTGCTTAATATCCTACCATGCTAAATGTTAACTGCTTAATTGTATTCTGCAGTACACCTGTTTGGAAGCATTTGCACCCATTTTGTTTCTCCACTTACTTATTCAGGTTTTTCCTTTAATTTGTCACCAATCTGTAGTTTACTGTGTGCTGTTACTCCATGCAACAGATCCCACATTGCACTCTGAAATGCACTGTTCACTCTCATTTCCATTTGTTCATGTGCTGTGCAGGCTGCATTCCTGTCCTCTGCATACCTATACTAAATAATGCAGGCTCCAATGAATGAGGCAAAGCACAACGATGATACATACAGGACAGCAAATGTCAACGAGAAAAGAGTGTGTGCGGAGACAGAAATCTGCGCCTGTCTGCACATCCACAGCTACGGTGCAGACGAACCTACTCAACACCCGCATAAATCACCGCCAGCGCTAACCATCTCCAGCGGAAACTGGCCCTGGTTTGGATTACAAAGCAATAAGCAAATCTGGACAACAAGAGGAGACAGGCCTCACAAAATATCGGCTGCTTTTTCAATGAAATCTTTACTGCTTTGACAAGCTCATAAAGTCCTTCAGTCTAACCTGGGGTAAGAAAAAAAACTCTTCCTGTATTTTAAACTTCAGGAAA